CAAAGGCACACCTATTAATGAAATATTAACAAACCACCCTCAGGCACATACATTGAAACAACAGCTGAACAAGCATTTTATATATTACATTGAACAGTTTCTTAACCATAATAATTCGGAACTCCTTAATTGGCAAGATTTTTACCACAATATACTCAAGATACCAAGAGGACAAATACCAAAATAGTTCACCAAAATACAAGAATTAATTAGATCAACAGCGAATCCTACAACTTTACTTGTTTATTCTAACCTATTCACCTTAATGAAATGGGTACCTAAGAAAAAATCTTGGGTCCTCACTCATGACTTCCTGCTGGGACGCACCAATCACTTTGACAACCACTATACGACTATTCACCACTATACTCGCTTAAGTAATAATACACTTACTCTATGCCTAGGATGCATAAAAAAAGATCTATAGTGAAAAGTCATAGAATTATTCCTCTAATCAATAGTTGAGTTGGCATGGAATAACCATTGTTTGCCTAGAATAACATCATACTATTATAAGTTAAGAGCTTGAGTTATGATCCTAGATGTAGTGTATTTCCTAATTTGTAGTTTGTTAATATTAACTACATAGTTAATTTCCTTTTTAGATCTATTAGCAAGTTCAACAGAGAATAGTTTAGTTCCTTGAGTTGTTAGCTTATGTTGTTTAACAAATTTTTTATCAATAAAATTTCTAGATACTCTACTATTCAATAATATCTAAGCAGGTTTTCTATTAACTTTACCTTTGAATTTAAGGAGTCATTCCTTATTATTCTCTAAATAGGTAAGTTCAGTATTGTAATTATCATATGTTTGTTTCTCAATATTAGCAATTTTTGCTTTAGGTTGTGTAGCTCTGCAATCCTTTGCATAGTGTTCTGGTTTATTACAGAGGTAACAATCAATTTTAGATAGGTTGTTTGGTTTGTTATAAGCTTTTTCTTTATTTATAAATTTTGCTTTATAACTTTCAATGAGATCCAATTCTATAGGAGTAGTGTGAGAAGTATAGGTATTGTGTTTGTTGTTGTTGTTATAAGAGTAGTTGTTACTTTTATAATTATTACAAGATAGAAATCTCCTTGATAATAATGATGATGAAGAAGAAGAAGAAGTTCTTTTCCCTAGTTTACTTTGTCCAAATATTGCAGTATCATAATTGATAGCAAGTTTTCAAGCATCCTCAAAATTAGCAGATACTCGATAATTTACTTCTATTTTTGTTGAATGTTTAAGTTCCTTGACAAAATATGTTACCTTATCTAATTCAGCTATGTCAGTAATTTGTTCAATCAAATTTCTAAATTGTGCTCCATATTCATGCACACTTCCAGTTTGTTTTAGTTATTTAAGTTGTTTATGTAAATTTTGTTGATAATTTGGTAGTTCAAAAGCAGCACAAATTTCAGTTATAAAATCATCTCATCCAGTAAAAGTTTGTTGATTTTGTAGTGTAGCTTGAACTTTATTGAAATACCAATAAATTACAGCCCCTTGTAGACCTGTTGCAGCATAATATATCCTTGTGGAACTATCATTAATTCTTTGTGCCTTAAAAATATTTTGCATTTGTAATAGTCAAGAAAGTACATTTTCAGAAAGATCCTCTTTGTATGAAGAAATTTTTATAGCAATTTTAGGAGTTACAGAATTAGCTTGTGCTTAACCTTGTCTTTGTGGTTGTTGAGCCTAAGCCTATTGCACAGCAGTATTAATAGAGTTAGTTACTGCAGTATTAAATTCAGCTAAGAATTGAGCAAATTGTCTAGCGTCTATTTTTCTCTTAAAAGTTTCAGATGTGTTTCAAAAATTTGTAAATATGTTTCAAGTTTAAAAACTCATATAACTTTGTGTAACTTCAAGTAAAGACTTGGTCATATAATATTTGTATAATTTAACAAGAAGGTGAATATTCTAGTATAAAAAAACTGTAAGCTGCTACCAAATGTAAGAGTTTAAATATATTGTAACAGTTTAAACAATGAGTTTAGTTATTAATACAGTTTATAATATTAGCAATAAGAATATTTAACACTTTAAATATTTTAGAAGTAGTGGATTAGAGAAAACCAAAACTAAAGAACTTTATTAAGGCAAAATAGCAGCCTTTAAATACATATTTTCCTAATATATTAATTATATAAATTTAACTCTAATACTTCTCTATAAAAATTCAGAAAAAATCTGTGAAATTGATCCAACTTTTTCTTAGTTAAAAATGAGTTCTGACTGCTTTTTCAAAACTGTCTAGAGACTATTTGATAGATTTGTTTAAAGCCTTAGTCCAAAGTTTATCATAATATTAGATAACATAATAGTCTCTGATATGTAATAGGCATCAGCTACAAGCAGAAAAGGTAGGTTTATTACAATCAGAGCAAGGAATACATTTTTTAGCTTTCCAATAGAATTGATATCCTTCAGAGCAAATACAAGCTCTCCTATAAGCCTCTTCAGAATTTTTAAGATAGGAGCAAAAATATTCACCAATCATTCTGCTATTTTTATTACTAAATTTGAAAAGTAATATATACTCTACATATATAATAATTAATTAATTAAAGAAAAAATTTTATAAACAAGTAAAAGCGTGATAGTTAAAGCTAGCACTATATCAAATGTCTTATGCTTACTCAGAATATATAGAAGAATTTAGTATAGAAATAGCTGATTTCAATCCAATTAGTTCTACTATCTATATACCTTTGCCTGAAACTTTGCCAAAATGTAATAATAGAATTATTAATATTCAAAATGATGATAATTAGTGTTTTAGATAGAGTGTTTTTGGAGCTTTGCATTCTGTTAAAGTTTATCTAAAAAGAAATCTGTATCACTAATATAGAGCTTTCATGGAGGAACTTAATATAGATAATATTCCAATTCTAGTACTAGTCTCAATATCAGTTTATAAAAAGTTTGAAGAAAATAATCCTGAAATCAGTCTACATATCTATGAATAGCACAACTATAATAAGTGTCTTGAATTTTACTATGTTTCAGAAAGAAGAGGGAATGAATATAAGCAAGTAAATCGTCTAGTAATTACAAAAGAAGAAAGAAGTTACTACTGTATTATTAATGATTTATATAAGCTAGTATACAATCATAGCAAGCATAAAGAACAAAAATACCTCTGCTGTTATTGTTTTCATATATACTCTTCAGAGATAATATACAATGAATATTTGCTAAAATGCAAGAGTCTAAATAATGCCTCCTAGTGACTATAAATGCCAGTTAAGAATAGGAGTATCAAAGCTTTTTATAATCATAAATGCATGCAACCAAATCTATATCGTATTTTCTAGGATCTAGAAATGTTAACTAAAAAGTTAACTCCAGAAGAGAAAATGAAGTTAACTTATATCAAAAGATTGCAAATGTACAAGTCATATAGTTATTACTATGTAGTTGTTCGTATGAATAGTTCACTTAACTATAAAATCATAAGTCATAATTTATATAAGAGCCTAGATATACTTGAAAGATTCATTACAAAAATCGAGGAGTAGTTGGCAAACATACAGGAGGACTTATCTATGCCTGCAGAAATAATAATGGTACCAGGAGATCTTAAAGTATACAATGAGATAACAGAATACTGAATTTGCAAGAGACCTTTTTTAAAACCAGCACCAGAGATAGTATAAAAACTCGAAGAAGCAAAGCATAATTTATTAGAAATCAAAGAATAAGAATTATGTATAGAAAAAGAATATTCTAAAAAGAAAGAGATACAGAAAAGATACCGAGAAGCTTTAAGTGTACTTAATTGAAAAGTAAAAGATCATAATCATATAAATAAAAAGTACTAAGGCCCAGCTCATGACTCTTGTAATAAAAAGTTGCATATAGGCTTTTTTGAAACTAAAGTACCTCTTATCTGTCATAATTTCTGAAAGTATGCCTCTCATCCACTTATGAAAATTGTAAGCAAGTTCACAGCTAATAAGCTAAATTGCATCTCAGAGAATATAAAAAAGTATAAAGCCATAGATATAGGACAGCTTCGGTTCTTAGATAGCTTTCAGCATATAGGAATAGGGCTAAATAAATTAGTTGAATGTCTAGAGAGGAAAATCAAAAAATTCTCTCTAAGTGTTAAGTATTTTACTGAAAAAGGCTATTCAATAGACAAGATTAAACTTCTTTTTCGAAAGAGTGTCTTTTTATATAACTAGACAAATGTATAGAAAAATTTGACAAAACAAGTCTCCCATCTAAAAAAGATTACTATTCACTTCTTAGTCAACAAAATATTAGTAAAGAAGATTACAAACATGCACAAAAGATATAGCAAATATTTGAGATAAAGAACTTTGGAGAATATTATAACCTTTATTTTGATACTGATATACTTTTACTTGCAGATATTTTCATGAATTATACTATAATATGTCTTAAAGATGATGGTCTAGATCTATCTCACTATGTCTCTGCACCTAGAATATTTAATGATTCTCTATACAAAAGTAGTGAGGTAGAACTTAAGCTTATAACAGATATAGATAAGTATCTAATAATTGAAAATAGAATCTGTAGAGAAATAACAATAGCAAGTCATCAATATATCAAAGCAAATAATCTATAATATCCAGACTATAAGCTCAGCAAGCTGAAGACTTGAGCCTTATATGAAGATATAAACACCATATATTCAGATACAATAACCTAATACATGCCTACAGAAATCCTAGATAAGATAAGTCTAGAGAAAGTATCTGATATCCAAAGTATTACACCAGATACAGAAATAGGCTATATACTTGAAGTTGATTTAGAAGCCCTAATGCATTTGTATGATTACTTTGCAAATTATCCTTTAGTGCCAGAAAAGCAGATAATACTAGAAAACTAGCTTAGTCTATACAATAAAATATTAGTGTGTAATAAAAATGTTAGAGAAAGGAAATATGTATCTGAAGAAAAGCTAGTTCAGATTCTTTTTACTAAAAAGAATCATCTAGTTTATTACTGAGCTTTCCAGACATATATAAAGTTTAGAATGAAGGTTACAAAGATTCATAGCACTCTTAAGTTTAGGCAGTCTCTGTAGATAAAGAAATATATTGAGAAAAATATTCGTAAATACAAAATAGCTAAGGCAAATGGGGATAAGTTTGGAGTCATATATTATAAGCTAAAAAATAATGCAGTCTTTGACAAGCAGATAGAGAATGTCTGTAAATATATGAGAGTAGAATTACTCTGAACAGAAGAGAATAAAAAAATCAGGTGCCTAGCAAGTTTACTATTATATGTAGGCTTTAAAGTATTCGTAAGAGGTATCATAGCAGTTCATATATTAAAAAGTATAATGACTCTAAACAAACTAATCTATATAAAGCAGGCAATTCTCAATATTAACAAGGCTATGATATTTAACTTTTGGTATAGTTACATAAAGCCTCGCTATGGAAATAAGGCCCATCTACTTTATACTTGTAACAAACTGCTAACTCATGCTTCAACCCTAGGTTATATGGAATTCAAAGTACTTGATTCTAAATCTAGTACCTTTGTATAACAAGTTATAAAAGGTAATCTCATATAAAATATATAAGGGTTATATTAGTTTTATTTATTATTTATAATTATACTTATTTTGGAAACAAGGCTAAAACAGCTAGAGTTTCACTTATATATTATTAGTTTCATTCTATTTTTATCTTTATTATTATTTACATTTCAAACATTATTATGTTTCACATATTATTAAGTTTCATAA